TTTTGATTTGTTTGTTATAGGAAGAGTCTTTGTGGTAATACCTCTTTTACAACTCTCACGACGCTCCAAATACCAGGGTAGTACTTCAAGGTTAGATCTCGTCGCTATATGACAAACACAATATGTTGTTATACTTCAGCCGTATTTTGATTAACGAAATAAATGTTAACCAAGTAAAATTTTTATTCAGATTTTTGCACTATTGTAAAAGCAAAGTTAGCAAAGACACAAATCGTCTTGACAAAAAACCTATACGCCAAAAACTGTGCTACTATAACTTGTCCTTAAGCGCTGTAATGTTTATAACTTCCTTATAGTGCTATATTTAATAATTAATTATTATTAATTATTATTTATATATAATTAAATGTACATTATCAACTTAAGAATTGCTTCAGATTTTCCACATCTATATCATTTCTAAAATATTGCACTTACTGACGTAAATGACTAAAATACTCCGCAGATTTTTTTGTTTGAATAAATTCTGTGCAGGACCTATTTTTGTTTGTATTTATATACCGTCCACTAAGTCGGCTCAATTGACGCACTTATTTATTTATTGAATTTTTTCTGTTCGCTGTCTACTCGTTTATGTGAATTTTCTATTACACTCTACCAATTACTCCATGGACATTGATATACTAGATATGTATTGTACATATATACGCGTATACATATACCTAACAATAAGTTTGCTTATGCTTGTTTGCCTCCATTACTGAATTTGGTTAGCATTAGTGCTACAATACAAACTAAATTTCCACAAAACTGAGTGAAACCCATCGAAAATTAATGACAAAATAATGTCAGTCAAATTGATTGAAAGACAGCGCCACCCCAACCAATCTTTGAAGAACTTGTCAATCAAAATACGTAGCTGAGCGGTGCGTGGAGAGCGTACCAAAATACGCTCACAATTATACGCTGGATCTGTGCGTCCGTTTCCATATTTCCCTCATTTGTTTAAAGCGACAAGCAGCAAACGCATGTACATTAACGTTGCATATTTATAGGCGCAAGCCCTGCATATACTTGTACTTGTTTGTATACATAACGAGAGATACGCCCGAATGTATTTAATGTGTTTTTACATGCGTTACAGCTGTGCGGCTCACATTGACATTTACTGTCTTTTTGCATAAATAACTGTCACATTCGTAGGAAATGTTCCGCAACACACATGAGCGATAAAAATATAAACAGTTGGGAAGAAATTTTATAAATACACTTATAGAGTGCAAGTTAGTATTAGTGTTTGCAAATTTGTGTAAGCAATGTCTTGTGCCCACGGTATTTTTGTGTGTCTCTTTCTTCATTTTTATTTTTTTCTTAGTACCGGCAAGATCCACCACCGCCTCGCTGTCAGACTTATTATTTTCCAATTTACTACCAGCCATCTTCTACGTTCACATTTTTTCACTTTTATTGAATTTCACAACTTATTCTGCATTCTCCTCACTCTCACTTTCGGCTGAACCGAAGCTTCATGCAAAATGATTTATTGAAACTGTCTCAACTCATAAATAAATAATTACCGGCATAGTAAAGTGAGTGTGTCCTAGTACACACAAATAGATCGATGCTTGTACATAAATCAGAGTATACATATTTACCACAGAGCGAACAGCAGCACAGTCTCGGTAAAATCGAGCTATACCATAACTCTGCAATACAATACAAATAAGCAGCATAAATTGATGCTAATATACATACATATATATGTGCTAAACATGCTCATACATACCGTTAATTGACAATAATTTTTCCTTACTTCAGCAAAAGTGAGAAAATATACGATTGGTTTGGCAAGTTTGGATTGTTGTCACAGCCTACATGACCTTAGACCACATATTTCACAGAAACTATACGTGTTGTAGCTCTTCAAATTCAAAGGAAAAATTTGCAGCAAATATATAGTATGAACTCTATGAAAATGTAGACGGCTTCTATCAGCCAATTCGAATTTAAAGAGCACTTGTGCGATGTTTATGCTGACTCTTCACCTTCGTTAGTTATATTCAAAAATTGGTTTAAAAAGTTGCAACGTGATCTCACATTGGTTTCTTATTAGCCATGCCCAGGTTCTATGAAAACGGCTAGTTCGAAGAATAATATGATTAAAGTTCACGAACACAAATTTAAGTCGCCGCCACGAAGAACGTATTTTTCAGACCACTCATAGAAGTTAAAGCATTGCCACGTGAAGTTTAACGCGCTGAAAGGAGTTTGTGTTGAGAAATATATTTCGAAGTTTTGAAAGATTTTTCATTTTCTTTTATAAGCTAGTTTTTTATATGATCGCCCTTGTAATTATAATATTATATTTTTTTTTTTACTAAAGGTGGGTAATGTTAGAAAGCGACAAAAAATAAGCCTCTTTCTTTTTGAGTCTTCTATCTCCTTTCCTCATGGCAAGGGGGTAATTCTGTAAAGGATACTTAAATAGTAATTTCATTTTCCTTTTATCCGCACAATGATCGTAGATGTTTATAGTGCCTCTCACTGTAAGTTTTGCACAGCTGTCGGTAGTATACACAAAAATTCTTATTCAGCACGTGTATTTGTGCTGTATCTTGCCGACTGTTGCATGCCATAGCGGCTGAACAGTCAATTCGGTTAGTTGATGCGCGCGCCAATTTTTCAGGTTGTAAATTTTTCTATTGTTGCAACATGTTTCTCCATATCAGTCCATTATTTTTTGTGTAGTTGGTCTCAACCAAATAGACTCTGAAAGCTTGAATAGGCAGTGAACTGTTATTGGTAGTGTAAAAGCGTGTGGCTCCACTGTAGCAAAATCATTCGGACAGGACGTGCGTGGAATTGAAATGTGAAGGAACACCGCTGATGAGCGCTTGTTGCACGCTTCACGCTGGGTATCTTTCATTTATGATCCTGAGCTATATGTGTATGTATGTAAATATATATATAAATGCATGTATGTAAATATATATATAAATATAGATTTGTACTTTTTAGAAAAATTATTAGGCTTTCACTTTCCATTTGCATCACTTCTCCTATTTTCCCCTTAATGATATGCATTGATCCTTGCATTAAAATAGTCAATTACCATTAAGCCAGAAAGAATTCGGAGACTACAGAGCTCAATTTATAAATAATTCGAAATTAGAATTGATATCGAATGGGATGTGAATTGCTTTATTAGGAAGAAGCAAATATATATTATCAGAATGCTGGAAGTAGTTTTCTCAATATTTTAACAAAGGCTCAGGGGAAGAGAAATATATTTCAGTTATTTATTTATTCGTTTCAAATCATCTTTTTAGTTTCGTGAGTGCTCTTCCTTTCGTTTAGCTAGTTTGAAACTAGGGTGAAGGTGTTTTATAGTCTATCTACTTGCGGTTCTTTAATAGTTTAAGGATAAAGCGAACAGGTTTAATATATACTTATAAGCTCACCGTTGTTATGCTTCTTTATATAGTATTAATCAACAAGGTTTATATGTGGTAGGGTCTATTTCTGTAAAATAAATATGTTTAAAGGATATAACATTTTTCAGTATTTTTTTTAAGATAGTATCATACTAAATGTTCCACAACACACAACTTACACAATGAAGTTTTTTATTTTAAAAATTGCGCTGAAAAGTATGCAATAAATGGAACATACTTTTTACTCCTTTCTTAATATTATATTATTTCTGGTTTACTATACTCATACAAGGACGTTTACGATTATTTTACTATTTGACTGCAGAAACCCACCTGCATATTTATCTTCGCTTTTCGTGACCAGCTTAAGCGCATTACATAAAACACTTTCACCTTCAACTTTAATCATCGGGAATTGGCCAAAAACAGTCAAGTGACAGCAATATAAGCACATCCCAAGAGGATGCAGAAATAATAGTAAATTCATTGCAAATTCGATAAAAGCCAACAAATACCCAAGCATCAACGTCTATATAAATAAAAACAACTACAAGATGTCAAATGACGACCAATGATGCATTAATAGTAACAAATAATCACAAAAATACTAATAGAGATGTATGTAAGTGCGTTTATATATATTTGTAATTCTATAAGATGGTAAAGGAATAATGCCACGTAACTAAAACTATTATTGTTGAGAGAGGCCAAGAGTAAAGGGCCAAATAAGTACCTTTTCCTATTCATGTATGTACAAGTATATTTGTATGTAGAAGTACAAACATACAATATGTATATATTTTAGCGTAAAAAGATTTAATTTAAAAATCAAAATACTTTTTGGTTCAACTCAACTTGGGTAGCTTAAATCCTCAAACTACAATTAACCGCCTTTTCTAGACGGCACAGCCTTGCTCCGTTTACACTACTTTCTGCCTTATTCTACAACATTTTTATTTTTGTTGCTTTTGTTTTGTACATATTTTTCAACCGGCACGTTGCAATCAACATAGACAGCCGGTGACGTGGGGTTAATGTTTTATGGAGCCTTAAAACGCCTCAGCAAGACTTCCATAACGCGGCTTCGTTCTACCAGTCAAACCGGCTCAAGCTTGTGAAAACTTTTGCTTTTTGCTGTTCGACACTGCTGGTACTCGCTTATCCTTGCCTTCCGCCTCCTGCTTCAACATTGGTGGAAGTCGTTTTGCATTCGAAATGGCAGCAAAGTGACTGACTTACTGACTGACAGCAAACGACAAAAATTAATTATTTAAAAGCCAGCAACAACATCCACAACTGTAACAGTTTTAACAACATTCAAATCAACAAAAGCAACCACTACAGCCCAACGTAGCGTAATAAATGTAAGGGTAATGGCGCAATAACGGTGTAAGCTCTGTTGAGTTGTTATGCCAGTATGTGTGAACTTGTGGCGTGATGATGCGATAGATACATTTTTTTTCGGCGTTGATAGCGTTGATTTTAATTTTTTCCTAGTTTTAAGCGAAAAGAATGTTTTGTCTATTTTTTTCCAAAACTTTAATTTTACTTATTACTCTACTTTCTATGCTCATCTACATATTGTACTCTTTATTTTCTTTCTAGATGACAATTTTCATTGAGAATACATCGGTGGCGAAACGTCTGAACGCCAGTCAAGCTTTCGATGATACGTGGAACACCGCCTCCGATTTGGAAAATGAGCTCGAAGTGAGTGAAAACAATTATAATGTTATAAATTTGAAATATATATACATATAAAGATGGTGTCTGATTATGGTAGGATAGCGGCGTGGCAAGATAAAAACGACAAAATCAATTTCGAGCGCTTTAATGTACTTACTGCAATTATAAGTTGTAAACTCGGCAGACCTACTGAGAAGTACTCTTTTTCGATTTAATCTATTTAACTGCTTTCTTCTATGACAATATGGCTTGCACTCCATCTTTCGTCCGTAATACAATTTGAACAGTATATTCACTCCAATATTTTTACATTTTTAAAACTGAACAGTTTTTCTCCAATTATCACTCTACAAAATCATTAATTTATTTATCATAATATATTTTACCTCAAAATTAACACAGACATTAAATCATTGCTCTCAAAGCGAAGCAAATCGCAAACTTTTGTGTATGTATGAAGCTTCATCCTCTGAGTTTTTGATTCCACAGTTTTATTAGCAGTCTTATTTTCAGTATGCCAACTTAATGAAGAATTAGACTTCGAGCTTTCTTGCGCTCTATTCCCACATATTCCCAGCAGAGTTCGGGTAATCAATTATACTTTTACGGTCTCACGTTTTTCCTCGCCCAGAAGAATCGTAGGAGGTCTATCCGATCAGTAATTCATACTTTTCCATAAAAAAAACTTCTCTGTTCTTTTTAATTCTTCATAAAGTTATGCGCCCTCTTCGTACCAATTCTGCCACGCCATTTAAAATAGTCCTAGCACCCCTATATTAATATATTTTATATGTACTTGAGGAAGCCTATTTGCCAGCGCTTCCGAATTTATGTGTTTTCGTTTTATTTGTTTTTTTTTTCGCTTTTGTTTTTTGCTGTTGTCTCTTCTCCCTTATTAACTTAGTGCATGTTACAGCAAAAGCGTGCCAAAAGCAGCAGCAGCAGCATCTCATCATCGTCGGGCAGCAAAGATGGCCAATGGTCGGGCTGGTCGGAGTGGTCGACCTGTTCACGTACCTGCGATGGCGGCATTATGCAACAAATACGCCGCTGCTACAACACAAATGGCTGCAAGGGCGAAAGCGTACGCTATCGCATCTGCAACATGCAGCCGTGTCCGGAGCAGCAAGACTTTCGTGCGCATCAGTGTGCCGCCTACAATGACGTGCCCTACGATGGTACACTCTACACGTGGACGCCGCATTACGACTATGTGGAGCCATGCGCGTTGACATGCAGGTGAGTGTAATAATGCAATGACAAACAATCATATGTGGTGTTTGTAACCGTGCAATAATTATTTACCGTTCGCGTAGCCATCGCGCAAAAATTGCAGGAGCGCAGCGCCATTCCTGTCCGTTCTTATGTCTGGCGATGCTTTCTGCTACCTTTTGCTGCCTTGCGTCAGAATCGAATGTCAGTTACTCCAAATATATGTTTGCGAGTGGCACGCGACATTCGTTAAAAAGTATAAATTTATTTGTGCTTGGAAAACCGTATCCAATTCAGCGCAGCCACAAAAGCAAACCCAATTTATGGCACTTGCACAAACCTTAAATCATAACTAGAATCGCTTTGTTAGTGAATGCGTAAAGAGGTGGTTTGGTTTCAGTGACGCTCACATCTGTCATGGTGCGTTGACCCTTAGGGCCGGCTTCGGGTTTCCGCTATCATTTAGGACAGAAGCTTGTTTACCGATTAGTTGGAGAAACACATATAAATAACAAAATTTGCGTCTAAGAATTGAAATATGCATTAGCCAAATCTACTATAATTCAAATCGAATGTGTTCGAGAAGTTGACCCATTCGGTGTTTTTACATCACACTTTTAATACCAGATTTTAATTTCGACACTTAGTGTAGGAGATTCCGTACCAGATGTACCACGCACCTAACAAACATGAACTGGTTTTGGTAAGCAAATATTACTCTTTTTCTTGTAAGGTATCCGGGTAGGGTAGGACAATCGCGTTAGAAATCCAAATTTTCCACGCAGTCGCTAAGGTCAAGACAATTGGTTGTGCCATTATAAGTAAATAACAAATTGCCATGACTATTTTGAGCCTAAATTTTAATTCCTGCGATGAATATTTTATTTAAGTAGACATTCCAAGAATTTTCAGTGATAATAGATAATTTCTCTGAAACCAAACTCCAATTCTTTATACCAATTTTAATCTGTTAATATTTTTTATATTTGTAGCATCTTTTTTTCTTTAGAGTTACAATACTTGTACAAGGTCGTTTCATTGACCTTTTTATTCACTACTTATAAACAAAAAGTTTAAAATACGAAAAATTTTGTAAGTGTTTATAGAATATAACTGGTTTAATTTTACTCTGAATTTATTAAACAAAAGTAAGAACAGTCACGTATTTATTTTAAATCCAATTGGTTTCATCGGTCCAAAAAACAGGTCACACTTGAACAACTTTAAGCCTGCCACAAATCTGTTGAGGTGACTGATATTCCGGTTATTTCGCCAGATTCGCCGAAGTTATGACTACAGCGATGTTTCAAGCTCAGGCTTGCAAAAGCTGGACAATGAAGGGGAAAGTGCCTAAATGTTTTCAACTCACCTTCCTCCATACAACTTTGACAGTTAATCATCTAGCTTTAACTCGAGTTTGTGTCATACTCACAACTGATGATAATGAATTCAGCACGCGTTTCTGAAAAAGTCTACATATTTTCATATATCTTTCCAATGCTTTTAATGACGTATTGATCTTTCTATCATCCAAAAATGTCATAACAAATCAATTACTAAGTTATGCAATACCATTATTAATTAAAATTTGATTTTTTTTTTTTAATTTTCAGAGGCCGTCCAGCACATTTACATTTGGGAGACACCTCATCATCGGAAGGTGTTGAGGATCCCGAACACTATGATGATCATGTGATCGTGCAACTGTCGGCGCGTGTACAAGATGGCACACGCTGTCGAACGGGCAGTCTCGATATGTGCATACAGGGTAAATGCCAGGTGAGTGAGAATCTATTGTAATCTACAAGTATTTGAAAAACTAAAATTTCCAAGTAACACGTTGGATCACCCAAACTTATTAAATTAGCGCTGAGTGCAAAATTATGAAAGTTTAAATTAAAAACCACTGCATATAACCATCAAAACAAAAGCTGTTGTGATAATTTTGAGAACGCAGAGCAATTCTCTGTCATTCCGAGAATAGCGAAAGTTGTTGACAATGACAACTGTAACGGTAATAGCATAAAAAATTACATGATGGCATATAATTTATTATGTCCAGTCGTATTCTTTGCGTTTTCGTGGTTTCCGTGGTATTCGATCCACCTTTGTTTTTTTTGTATTGTTTATATTTTTTTGACTGCGCTGTTTTTTTATTGTCAATAACAATGCTACACAATTTTCTAAAATAGGAGGCTTTCCGCAATTATCGAACAACGAACATACAATTTTATTGACATTAGATACGAGTTGTGTGGTAACTTGATATGAGACTTTTGTTGACTAAAGTTACGAGCCTTGAAATGACTTTATTGTTAGTGATTTCTGAATTTTTTTTTGTATTTTGCTTTTCAGTCTCTCTTTATTGTTATTGTTGCTTTTATTTGTCAGTCTGTTTTACTTTTACTGCGTACTTTTCCTTATCGCTACACATATTCCTACATACTCATACATGCCTCGTAGACTTACTCACACTCCACCGAACTTGTAAGCGTGACTAGGCCAGACATACCAACAGACACAAAGGAGGCTAGCACAGCTCATGAAATAATAATTCTAATATTTTGCATTGTTGAAAAGGAATAGTTAGTATGAGTTCGTAAATAAAATAAATCATTCTCAACCTCAAATCCCCTACTTTTTGAATAAGGTTTTGTCTGTAAGTCAATATTATATGCAATGCAATGTGTATACCTACATACCTTTATAGCTATGTACATATGTGCACATCAACAAATCTAATGTCTATGTGTAATTCTGTGCTTTTTGAGTGTCTCTCGAATAGCAATCAAGCACTTTATACGATCTTTCATCGCATTTCGTGTTTACTGCCACATGACTCTTCGCATGTCGCATTGTAAACGTAACGGCAAATGTAAATAACAGTATTGTTATATGAGAGAAAATTCTTAATTCACAACTTGAGTAAAAAAACTATTAATATTCAAATGGCAATGTTTCTAGTTATAAAAATGTGGCACCTTTCAACTTTGTTTAGTTGAAGTGTGTTTATTAGGTTATGTTAAACTGATTTATGCTATTGCTATGCTTATGCTATTGTTGCATTATTCTATTGTAGAAGTTTTCTGTTCGGTTATGTTTAGTAACCTTGATATTTCATATATATTATATGTGGGGTTTCTACGGCTATACTTGTAGATTGTCAGTCTTATTCTGCAAATAAGGATGCTGGAAGCTGTGTCAGCTTAGTATATTCATGCCAGAGATTTCCAACTCAGATATATTCGTTGTATTGAAATAATCGGAATTGAGATATTATTATCCGATTACTTAGCAAATTAATCATTGATATGACTTTCTCAACCCAACTTTAGTGACGGTTTTTACTTGTGTTGAATTTTATTTTTTCATTTCCCAGTACACCTAAAACAGTAGTGTAATTATTCCTCCAAAACTACGAGTTAGAAAGCCTGATTTCTGTAGCCGTACACTTGTATGTAAAGATATCTGCCTATATGCTTGGCTTGAAATTGTTTTTCTTATACAATTACAGTGTTGTAATAATATTTATTATAGTCATATTATCAGTATATCCAAAGTTTTACCTTGACTATCTATAGTCATCTTTGGATTTTTATGAGTCGAACTAGAATTCACTAAGATATATGACATGAGTACATAATAGTGTCATCTCTTTAGAAATCTGATTATTAGTTATTTTTGGGGTTATACAAAGTCTTACCCGTGGAACTAGGCGATCCGTAAATACAGTAATATTTCTTTATGGGGCAAAAAACTGTCGTTTTGTTTTTTTGACCTATACAAAATTTCATTTAAACAAAAAATTTTGAGTATGTACATAATTTTCAATTTTAGTGAAAAGTAAAATTCAAAAGACATTAACATATACATATAAAAATTCAAACGGTATACACATATTTTTAAAAGAATTCTTATAACTCATATTTGATTAAAAAATAAATTAAATACTTCTGTTCTTCTTCTAGCGCGTCGGCTGTGACTTAAAAATCGGTTCGACGAAAAAGATTGACAGCTGTGGCGTTTGTGGTGGAGACAGCAGCTCCTGTTCACAGCCACTTTACTATTGGGAGACAGCGCCAACAACGCAGTGTTCGGTGACATGTGGCGGAGGTAAGTGTAAATGCAGACAAACCAATAACCAATAAAAACAATACGTATATCACAAATCGCATGCGACTGCTCGTAACAACAGGCTCTCTCATTCTGCCAAAACGGCGACGTTTACGAAAATATCACGACATAAAGTAACTAAACAGACAAACAAATTTGAATGCGTCACAATGTTGGAACTACATTCGTGCCAGGTCTGCAAGAAGCGCAAGAATTGTCGCGACACACCTCAAGCAGGCACTAGTAACCAGAATTTTGGCGAACAGGCTGCTTACAGCTTGCTGGATTTGTTCGTATTTGGTGTTTCATCTATTTTTAGCAAAAAGGTTTTATTGTTTACAGTGTTGGTTAACGAACCAAAGTATAACAAAAACCCCTTACATTGATTCAAAGCGCGTTTTCTCGTCTCTAATGGCACTCCAATGTGACACGCTCAATTCGTTCACTGGAAGTGGGAAACACACACTCGCGTGTCGTGCTTCAGTTTGTATTACATCTGCCGCCCAGCGACCTACTCCTCCTACACATACAGTGATTACTTATCTACTGATAAAAGTTCGAATGCAAATTTCGCATGTCAAATTTATTTCGTTTACCTTTTTTATTTTCGTTTCTTATCTGTACCTGTGGGCCTCAGCTGTCAGTCCACGTATGCGCATTTGCTACGTAGTTACTTAACCGCGTGCTCCTTATGACGCGTCGTCGATTTGTATTGTGTAACAAATTCCTGTGAAATTTCAAGTACGCTTTTACCCCACTTTTATTATATACGTTTTACTTATTGTCTTGTGGTTGTAGGAAACCTTTCTGGCGGTTTGCTGAGTGCTTAGTAGGCGCATGTTGATCTTTTGGTTAGCTTACCGGTTAGGTTCATGTGGCATATGGCCGAATGGTTAATTAAGGGTTGAAGTTTTAACTTATCGCGGAAATAGGCTATAACTAGACTCCATATCTGCGATGTAGTCGAATGAAAGTGAATAAATTGTCAATTCGTGATTTCGATATGTATATACTTATTCCTGTATATGTACATATATGTTTTCAAAACTTAAAACAGCATATATATGTATATATAAGCAGATACCTAGGTATGTCAAGAATTTGTATTAAAATATTTTAAATAATTTAAATCAACTATGAGAGTTTGCAGTGTCAGTTCATAAGGCTTTCGAAACCTTTACGCCTTTTGACACTCAAATACTTATACTCGCGATAAAGTAGACTCCCCAAAATACTGCTGCAACATTTTCAGTCGTACAACCGTAGTCGTGATTCCATCTGAAAGACAAAATTTCATAACATAAAAAAGATTATACCAAAAACTCGAAAACAATTTATTGATTCGGTTGGCGTACGCATTTTAAATGTATCAGTCCGAGTCAAAATTGGTCAAATCATAGGTACACCTATCGTGGAGGATCATAGAAGTAATATCGGAAAAATATTAGTTAACACGCTTGACATCTGATTTTAAAATAAGTTTTTCGAAAATGGACTTGAAAATTTTCAAAACCATAACTTTATATTAACATGATTTTAAGTTTATATATGAAAAAGAGAGCCGGTACCCGTACTAATTTTAATACAAATTTAAAAAGAAAATCTGCAAAAGCAATATGAAGGAAATGCCTTACATCTTCATAATTATTTGTTTTTGGCAAAAAATTGGTGAAAAGTCTTAAGATATACTTTTTAGAGATCACAATTTTCTATCAAAGGTCGGCTTAAACTGAAGATTAAAAGCTTATTACACAGGTGAAAAAAGTAAGCACAATATTTACGTAAATACATACAAATTAAAAACGTATTAAATATCATTCGTTTTCATAAATGAGCCCCCAAAAGGCCAGCGCATTAGAGAGTATTTAAAAGAAATTACTGGTTAGATGATAGTAGTGCAAGCAAATTGCTATGTACACAGACCTAACGTTTGTAACTGTGTATGCATGTAATTATGTGTGTAAATAGTTATAGGCGAGTGCCATTAACTGAGAACAAAGACAAACTGTCGAAAACATTGACGAAATTTTGTCATTGATTAATTCATTAATTTCAACTGTAATGTCAACAACAACTCTTAATCGATTGTAAGTCGTCTGTAATTGATTTCACCAAACAGAAAATCAATCATTTCTTCTGTCAAACACATTACGGATTACTTATACGCCACGTGCGACGTGAACACAATTACCCACTATGCTCAAATTAATGACTTTAGAAGTGACTTGTGCTGAAATATTTAAACTTCTTATGAATACAAAGTCAATTGTTAGCAATTACAGTAAGATATATCGGCCGTTAAAGAGCTAAACTTCGGCACGCAATACGTGCAGGAAACTGAAGAACTGAATTAATTGAAAACAAAAACTTAACTGAAAGTCGAAGTAGTTTAGAAGTGTAGTAATAGTTAAAAAATATGTGTATATAAAGATATTTTGTTCGTTGTATATTTCAAACTGATTTTGCTTTAGTTTAAGTGCTGTTCGCTATACGCAAGTGTTTAGATGCCAACGAGTGCTTTAAGTTGCACGACATAGTAAACTATACAAAGTTTATGGTACTTAAGTAAATTTTATAAATATATCTGCATGATTGCATACATATAAGCACTTTTTCTTTCAGTAATCTTCACGTGAATACTACATTGATAAAATTAAAAAACTTATATATATTATATATTTTACTATATATGTGATTTATATAATATTTCTTCATAAGAACTTTCAGTCATTTTTTTTAGTACCACCGCATATGATTTGACATATCTATATATAATATATTCTTACCGCTACTCGGTTAGCAAGAGAAATCGATTTGTCGTTTGCTCACCTACTATTTTTATATCTTTATCGCTGTTTTACGCAAATTGTTCATTCCCTTCGCGCATTCTCAATTTCCTTAGACGCCATCAATAACAATTCCACCTTACTGCCTGCCGAAAGCCTATAATGGAAGCGCTGAAATCACGCTAATAAGATAGGGAATTTATTTGTTTCCTTCCATGCTGTCGCTCTGCACTCCTCTCTCTATTATCGCAAGGCTTATCATTTAGCTACAAGCGATTTTATGTCTCTGCTTTGGTTTTTACAAGCTTTTATTAATCCCTTGGTTATGCCGTTGAAGCATATGAAGCCACTGTGAGTGTCTGTTTAGGTGATTATTGCCTGTAGCCAATTGGGCAGATGCTGTAATTTGCTGCGCAAAACTATGTTTATAAAATAAAAGGCGTTGAACTGTGATACACGATGTTTTAGCTTACAGCTTCGTATTGCTCATTAGGATAACTCAAGGCCAATTAAGCGGAGTTGAAGTCTGGGAAATTGATAGCAGTAATGTGTTAGACTTCTCTGTATTTGATTATATTGTATCTTGAGATTAGTTGGAGCATATATGTATTTATCTTAGTTTCATGATGTATCAATTAAAGGACTCATTGAGCGAAATTGACTGGACTAAAGGAATTTGACTATATAAAAAGTCGGATAAGACAAACGAAGCGATAGACTTTCGAGAGGTCGATTTCAGAAAAACTAAATATCTACGAATATATCTCATCAATTTCGATTTTCAATCTTGTGTGTGTGTATGTCATATATTTGCCTCTATATAGTTTATAGAAACACTTTCATAATTTTTCACTCATAAGCACTATGACGTAAAATATAGGCGAACAAATGAAGCTACCAGCTGCAATGTAGAAACCAGATAGTAAATTTATTATATTTGCATTCCCTCTGCACATATGGCAACTCAAGTAGAACATGAGGTAAATATGTAATATGGCGCTGATATACATACTCGCTATGCTTTTGATGTACTGAAAGTCAGCTCGAATAGAATTGTCAATCCTTCCCAAAAAAAAAATCTGATAAGCTAACAGCTTTCAAGCGTCGATCAGTCAAAGATTTTAAGAAACTAAACCCAATTGATGACCGATAAAGACTTCCATGAAATCTCTTTCCTATTTGTGTTGTCTTCTGAGTTGTGCTGTCTTGTTAGATCAATATTTTTTACGCAAGTGGCAACAATGTTCTCCTTTCTTGAGAAATCAATGCTTTGCTTGAAATCAATCTTTTATATTGCTTGGTAATTGCTCATAGATATAGTCTCAAATATTTCTTTTTCCTCCTCATGTAATAAAATATTTTAAGATTCTTATTTGTCGCTTCAGTTTCTTGGTTAGTTTATATTTATTTTCTTCTAGTTTATTTAAATTTTTTGCCGCCGCTGAAGAGTGTCAAACTCATAGAAAACCGTATGTGTGTCACATATTTCCTGCTCTTTTATTATGACATACAACAATGTGGTATGGCAACCATATGTCTGCCTTTAGCATTAAACCTCTTCAGTTTTTTGTATTTCTTTACCATGTAAATATTTTACTTAAAATTTTCGAATAGCGAGCAACCCTTTAACTTTTATTCTTTAAGTCGTCTGAGTACTGCACAAACAAACTAAAATCACAATTTCTCAAATCAGTGCCGAAAATTTCCTACAGGGGTACCATCGCGTCATATATCAACAACCATCCGAGCACGTCAGTCCGTATGCCTTTCACACATGCCACTCAAATACCTTTTCTCACGCTGATTCAGCAGCCTGACAGCGTATTGATTCCAGATCTGCTTAGAGCATATTGTCAACATCGAGATGCATCACAGAGCGAAGCACCACCATGCACGACTGCGCACCCATACCTAAGGGCAGGCCAGGTATTATGTTTACGCTACCCTACAATTTAATAGTGCCAAACAGTCTGCAGGTTGCTTGGAACGCACACTAGTGCGGCGGTGCACCACTTCGCAAGTCTCAAGTGTGTAGAGGTTGCAACTGCATATACTCGTAGTTACTTACAAATAAGTCGTCGTTTTCATACAATCGCCTTCACATTGTTTCGATTGAGCTTCTGCTCTGTATTCCACGCTTGGCAGCGCTTCTTTTCTCTACAATGCTTCGTCTGCTTCAATGTTCTGCGCCACAGACGTTCTCATTCCCGTCGTTGCAGCGCAAGCACTTAAGCACATAAATTCTACAATGACTCTGTGTCGCCTGTGGCATTCGCCGTGCTTAAGTTTTTAAGTCTGACAGTTGGCGCCGTTATCGCTCACGAACTCCGCTACGCTATCCTTCTACTCATCTTTATTGCCGTCACTTTCACTTTGTATGTCGTACGCGTGTGTCTGGGTGCTTTTTGTTTCTCCATCGATTTTTCACTTTCATTGATAGAAATGATTGTGGGTGATCTTATCTTGCCACCGCTTATACATACCTTTAATGTTTCCTTCCAGATTACACATTTAACAAATTTCGTTTATTTTAATATGTTTCATTCACTCTCTCTCTCTCACTCTCTCTCTCTCTCTATCATGTTTTGCCCATAGGCTACAAAATGTCTCAACCGTTGTGTCGAAATCGTGTCACTGGCGTTGAAGTCGAGGACTCCATGTGCGGTCCGCAACGACCGGAACCATCGGTGCTTCTCTGCAACACGCACACCTGCCCACCAAGGTAAGCCCTCTTGCCAACATTAGCATTTATCTTTTATGTCATCGACAGTGCTTGTCTTACCTTGCTATTCCTGCCACCATTTGTGGTAGAATTTTGTTGAAGCGGTAATGTTTTTTACCAAAACATGCAATAAATTTAGAGGTCGTTCTTAAAAGGCTGTAATGCCTGAAGAAAATTAAATGCTTTAATAATGAACAGTGTAGCTCTTGCAGCAACTAAATTCAACATCAGATGTAGCAGTTGTATGCTCGTAAGTTCGCGTATATTTTAAGTTGAATACGAATGTTGAAAAGAGAATATTTATTAATTAAAAAAAGTATTCTTTTAATTTATTATTAACTATTATTAATACTTTTTCATTAACCCTAATTTTTAACACAAATATTTCGACTTCGAAGACTAACTTCGAAAAACGGAGAGTTTACTTCTTTATTTATGACTAAATCCCTCGAAAAAATTGGTTTCGTTCAATACCCTTGTTTGTTGTTCTTGTCGCATTTTGGTAATAATATCTAATAGTAATAATATCTATAAAAAAAGTACTTGTGGCACTCAGGGACTGCCGCGGTAAAGCTATTGCATAGCATTTTTTTTAACTTATGCAATTATAATGATTCATTTATTTTTTAAACAGTATTTTGTTTTCTTTAATATTAATTCAGGTTTTTTCTTTGATATTAACTCAAGTTTCAATTTTTGAGCGGGATGACCGATAAGAAAACTATTTTTTTCTTTATTTTATCGAATAAATAAATATTTTTATTATCTTATAATATAGGTAGGTTATTAAGGAATTTTTAACATTGAATTTATAAGTTTATGGTAACTGAAATAAGAAACATAAGCTTGAAGCTTGATATCCTCTAAATATCTGGAAAATAACGCGTCAATGGTGGTTCCATATTTTGTTGTGAATTATTGTGGATCATTATTTATTTTCTAACTTATTTTATCTGAAAGAAAATTTGTTATTCGCTCTGATATTTTATCAGCGCAGTTGATGTTGAAATCAAAAGTCAAACAAAATACTGTTCCAAAAGGTAAGGTAACTATTTACCAAAAGAATATTAATGTTACAAATATTATGACTCCGAATATTGAATAATTTATTTTTTATTAATTAACTTTTAACTAAATTCTATATTTTTATTTGCCATTAAAAAAATTGTATCTTAAATATTATTATTTTGAATTACCCTGCTCTTCAATTGTTTTTTTTCGCTTGAGATATGCGAAAATACGTCTAAAAGTATGCAAACATTTTGCGCATACTTTGTGCTCGTGTTAGGTTTATTTCCGTTACGGAGTTTCTTGATTCAGTCCCTGCGCTCAAAGCCCGCGTTAAAAGCTATGCAATAGCTTAAAAATAAATCCAGTGATAAGTACACAAATAACAAAAAAGTCTCTAAAATATCACTGTAGAAACGCAAAATTTAGTCCTATGGAAAAGTGCCAATTAAGCATCATGTTCAAGTTCCAGAGATTGAATTGACCCGATTTCTAAAGTAAATTTTTGTTGCAAAATAATTTTTTTAACCATACTACCTCACTACTAATTTCTCAAAACAATAACGTTACATGCCCCATAAACCCTGACCTCCAGTAATAAGAAGTGTTACCTAAAAATATTTAAATTTTTAGCGTTGTTTGCCGGACTTTCCTTGCCACTTCTAGCTATTGTTTTCGCTAGCATTTATGTGTTTTTTCTCTCTCTCTCGTTGCTTGACGCTCACTTTGTCCTTGCTCTCATTATGGCAACTCGTTAATTGATTTTTTATATGTGCACTTCAATTATTGTTAGCGCATCAGCACTAAAAGTTCTCGAACTCACAGAACAGAAAGTAAAAAAACTGTCCAACTACTGGCGCCTGCATTTACGAGCGTCACACCCTCAACAACAACACCAATGCCACTGCTACTAAAGTTTTATGAGCTAACTTGTTTGTTTTTAGCATAATTTCCTGCCTGATTTGCATACAAGCTGAAAATATGAAGTTGTTTTTGGTTGTCAGCAATATATATGTACGAGTATGTGTGTGGTTGACGCCTTGACGTCCTCATATGGAAAGGGCAAGTTCGCATTTGAGGGCGTTGCAGCAGTGCATAACTTTGTAGAACTCTAAGCTATTTTGCAACAATGCAATTCATAATAACAAAAAACATGCAAAAATATGTAGCAACTACTTTTGTTATGTGAAAATTCTTAAAGGCCACTGGGTTAGTCACAAATACTCGAATATACTGAAATTGCAATACATTTTATTAAAATCATCTTAAAATTGGTTTGTCATTTTGTCTTAAGTACCTTAAAAAACCTTGTTCAAAATTTTCACCTTAGTATTAACTCTAATCCTCCATGCATCTTTTATAATTCAAAACTTAACCTTCATTGAGCTTTCGTTGCTCTAAGGAGCCAAACGAAACTACAAATGAGCACAGGATATTTTTAAAACAATGAGTAATGTAGGTACTCAACACTAACTCAAATGAATTCCAATTTAAACAATCCACAATTAGTTTTAGACTACGCCGTTTTAGTTCAGGTTCTCCGAAATATTTATCGGAGATTCGGAGTGGTAGAATCTTGAATAACTTCGCGGTTAAGTTCTATAAAAAATCTTGATGTGTTAAGCACCACGACAAAGTTCATATTTTCGAATCAAATTGCTCTGATAAAGTTAGGTAAGGTTTTCAAGTTTTTTTAACGTAATTCGTAGATAACAAACAAAATATTCCCTTCAGTAGTATCTCAGATGTTGGAGCAATACTTTTTATTTTCGTGAAGCAATAGCTTTTAGTTTCTACCTATACAATCTATATGTTTCTAAGGGTTGTTGGGAACTAGATATTTAAGACTTTACTTTCACATCAGCTCTGAAGGGCTTTCTGTTTAAAGACCTTTCTTTTCGGAGAATATCTTATTCATTACAACAACGATTTAGTACAATATTTACAACAAGTTACCTTAAGTTATAAAACACACGCCATCGCAGTTTCTTTATTATATTTTCTTCGCCCAAGCTTCTTATAGCAACTCTGGAGAACAAAACAAAAAGAAAAAAATATTGTTTGCTTTAATTTCGCTTTCATTTCGCTTCAGGTGGATCACTGATGATTGGAGTCCATGCAGTCGTCTCTGCGGACCTGGCTACCGTGAGCGCATGGTGGTGTGTGCGGAGGAGAATAACGGTATCAAAACAACGGTAAGCGTAAATTGAGTCATAAAATAGTTACAGTGTGCCGGAAAGGGGAAAGTAAGCGACTGTACAACAATAAAATTTACGAAGGAAAAACAAAAAACAAAAACGTGAAACAACAACAAGAAATGCTAAATATTATTCATACCCAGTTTGGCGCTTCTTTTCATACACTCTACATAGCGCGTACACGCGCGGTGTTGCCACACTTTATACACTTTACAGCGTTTATTGCTTTTGAACTTTCCATTTCGAGCACTTTGAAGACTATCAAAAAATGCTTGCGGCCCACTTGTGTGCACAGCTAGAAAGGCGTACAGCAGCGCGTCCGTCATTGTATTCATAATTGCCACTGAACCTTAATCCCTTTTCTCTCTTTTTTGCAGTGCGTTAGTTTTTTTTTTGTTTTTATTGTTCTGCGGTAACTTGGCTAATTTCGTGAAATTATCGCCAACCGTCCTGGGTTTTCTTTTATAATTTTCACTTTTTGCTTGCTGTTTTTGTTTTTGAATTTAACGCTCATCGTGTCCATCATTTCAGGTACTGGATGTGACGTGTCGTGCGCCAAAACCAGCCACACAGGAGCCATGCATGATTGAGAAGTGCCCAACGTGGGAGGTGGAAGAGTGGACTGGAGTGAGTATGCTCAGTAACCTTGAAATGTAGTACATAAGAATATTTGTAGTAGCAGCAAAAGGATTAATGCACGCGTTCTTAGTGCTTTTTATTACCGTTACGTTTTTTTATATGTTTTCTTTTTTATTTAATTTTCACAGTTCATCCATTTGCCTGTTTGCACATTTTTAATCGTTCAACTTTTCCTTTATGTTGTAAAATTATAATTTTAAACTCTTTGCTCTTTAATTAGTGTGCAGCTTTAATTTTTCACATAATTTCCGTTTGTGTAATTATGCGGTATGTGTAATTTTAGGTTGCAGGTTAAATGACTAATATTAATATGGATAATTTAAGCCGTGTACATTTTATGGTTTCTGATATTCATTATACATACAGCAAGGTTTATTGTGCATAAGTAAGGTTCGTACAAGGTCCCTCAGGGTTCGTCGAATGGTTGTGTATTAGCGTTGTAATTATTTTTACAAGGGTATTTGATTCCGAAATTATGACAAAATCGTACTTGCTACAGAAAAAAGAATTTATTGTTAATAATTTCGTTTCCATAGGTAAAGCGTAGATCTGTCGTGACATAGGACCAATCAAATTAAAAGTCTTGAAAACACGCATTCATAAAAACCTTAAAGCAAATGCCAAACAGTAAATGAACTTCGCTTTAAAACATCAAAACTAAACAAGCGTATAGGGCCAGTTGAAATGGTAATACATTAAGGAAACCCTCCTTGAAGAACCTACAACAAAATACGTCTGCCATATAGAAATAATAAGTAGTAACCAAAAAGATTTTGGCTGAGATTTAGATAAACCAGGCAGAGGCTCAAGATAAAGAGGTCAATAATGAGACACTGCCTTTTGAGAACACAGAGGTGCCGCTTTCCGAAATGCGAAATTCACCTTTTTGAAAACTTTGATATTTCGCTGTTAATATAATAATAACAACTTCAGCATTTTTGATTTGATGACGATTCCCTTTAGATTTAAGAACTCCCTTGACGTAGGCAAATTAATGCATATATCTGAATGATGTTTTGACACCATTTAGTTATTAAATCTCAAACTTTAATTTACTTTGCTTACTATACTCTCGTATTATAATTATAAAACTGTAATTAAAATGCAACAAGTTCCGTAAGCTAATAACTGTAGCGATAAGATATGCAAAATTGTATAACATTACCCTTTCGTATATTAGTGTAACCCCTCATTATATTGCAAAGCAAGCCGCTTGTAATAACAGCAACTTCACAGAATTCGCTTGAATTTAGCAAGTGCCAGCGCTGCTGCTTCGACACGCATCCTGAAGTGAGGCTGAAAGTGTTTATGTTAAATGTTTGCCGGTGTCTTATGTGTGTGGTAATTGCACTCGAGCTGAAATGCTAGTGAAAAGTCACGAAAAGCAACAACAACATCGCCGTCATTAAATACAACGAGATTAAGACGACTCGTTGGCTAACACTGACGAGTTTCCAAAACACGCTGTTTGCCTACATTAACCAAACAGGCTACATGTCGCACTTGTTGGAACGCACCGACTTGCTGTCTCGTCTCATCTAAGTAGTTCTAACATTTGTCTACAAATTCCCTAAGCTCTACCTCTGATCCACTTGTGCCTCTCCGTCTAAGTAGTTTTGTCGAGATGAACTGCAGCTAGCTGCTTGAGGGGGTTGTTGAACATAAAACTCTCGGTACAGTGCACGCGAAAGCATAACCAACTTCATTAAAAGCTTCTAAATCGCGGCATGCTTGCTCGATTATGGCACGATGTGCACCAAAATATTTTTATCCATATAAACTCCTAGTTAGATATATATGTATGTATTTGCATATGACACCACATAAGTACATAAGTTCAGGCGGTTTACTTGTTGTGGCATATGCGTTGCGACACTCGGCGTACTGTTGGAAAAATACTCAAAGGTCGCATTCTGTTGTGGAGCCTCATCGCATTTGGCTTGTGACGACTTACTGCTGTTTCAACTGTTTGTAGACACTCGCATAAAAAATAAGTTTTTTGCATACATAATATGGCTTGGGATGTGGGTATAAGTGAACCATTTTGCGTGTAGGCGAGAAGGTTTGACTAAAGCTTGTGGAGAGGGTTGCCATCTGTTAAAAGTTACATAAAACAATATCATTATGTAAAACCAGAAAGATACACAGTTTTGTGTTTCGTTTATTTAAAATCTTTCTTTACAATTAAATTAAATAAAATTATCTGGCAACTCTAATATAGTCTTAAATGGTGTGTTAAATTTTAGTAAAATATTTATTTTATCTAAAAAATGATTTCACACTGTAAAATTTTCTAACTAAAATATATTAAAATTTTGACACATTTCTCCTAGCGCTTTGGCAACTCTTCGTATTTTGCACTATTTTTACAATTACCTACGAGATTGTGATTATGTGGGTTTATATTTTCGCATATGTTAACATATATTTATCTCATAACTGTATACGTGTGTGTGTGTTTAAGATATATGTGAACACACAAAATTATGAACAACCTTTTTCTGTGTCCTTTTGGCATTTAATTCTTTCACACCCACTTTAATATGCATATGTAAATATATGAAGTTAAGTGAGAGTATTTTAGTGTGCTTGTACACCTACACACATAAATACGCTCAGTTCATCATCCTTTGCATTCTAAATTGTTATACAAATTTACTCACCATCTGGTTTTGTGCACTTTTCTGCTTTGCTGTCATCTTCCTCTTTATTTGCCTTTTTTACCAGAGTACGAATTTGCATACAATTTTGACTTTTTACATTGTCAAGCATAATTATGTACTCTCCATGCCATTTATGTAAATACAAATATACATACAACAAAAAAAACATTTTTATGAAAATTTAATGTTAAACACATTTAAATAATTTATAATTCCTTATCATTTTGCCTTTTTTACCTTCACAACAACTCGTCTCCGTATGTTATTTGAATATTTAAATATACTTCAACCCTGGAACTTCTGCCACAATTCAACTATTTCAAACTGCACTGCGGCATGCACAACCATATATGTTTGTATGTATGCATGCTTGCCTTTGGCCTACCCATAGTGCTCGGTAACCTGTGGACAAGGCTTGCAAATGCGTGGAGTTGAATGTAAATCGGCCGATGGCAGACACAGCGCCAAATGCGACCCACTTACGAAGCCCGCATCGGTGCAGCAATGCTCGACGGTGGTCTCATGTGACGCTGGCGGTGGCACGATTATACTTGGCAGCAGCGGACCTCTCGTAGCGGTGAGTAATCAACTTATTAAAAAAATTATATTACATATACAGGGCATCAAGTAATTAAATAGACAAATAAGTATTTAAAAAAAACAATAAAATCCAGCAATAAACATAATTTCTCTTAAAAAAATTATCCACTTTCAATTTCTAGTCGAATGATGGTGATCTCGATGAGGACGACGAAGAGGATGACGATGACTCGGCGGATGTTGATGATGTAGAGGAGGGCGCTGATGATTCCGGTGATGCCCGCCATGGTGATGCCGGCTTGGTGACGTATCATGATGATTCTGCATCACAGTACGCACATCGCTCAGTCAGTCATCTGCATCATGAAGAACCCCAGCAGCCACGTGCTGAGCGCCTTACTGGTGGCGGTGGCGGTTATGGTTATCGTAGTAGTTCGGATCCTGAGCCGGAGGTGCCTGTCGGAGATCCAAGGTAGGTAGAAGAACGAATAATTGTAGACAAGTTTAAAATTATGTGAATAATATTTATAGCTAATGAAACGAGAGAGATTTTGCTACCTGGTATGGTAGATCTCGTCTCGTAAAATAAGTACTCTGTTATTCACACTAATAAGTAAGTTTTAATGTCAAACCTTTACTAATTTTTTCCGGAGCTCTTGATCTTGATTTTGGTTTTGGTGTCGGCTTTGCCCTTGGTCTTAGTCTTAATCTTAGTCTTGGTCTTGGTCTTGGTCTTAGTCTTAATCTTAGTCTTGGTCTTGGTCTTGGCCTTGGTCTTGGTCTTGGTCTTCGTCTTGGTCTTGGTCCTGGTCTTGGTCTTGAAGAGAGAAAATTTTAAAATAATTTACTAATAATTTACTCCATGCTCTTCCATCTAGTCTCAACTGAGTATTTTAAATGCGTATTGACCTTCCAGCGACTACACTACAAATACTAATAATTGCCCTTTAACCATTCAAATACCTGAAATTTGTATTTAATCAAAAAACAAAACTGCGAATAGTTTAGAACAGAAATGTTTCCAACACGTGTACTGCTAGACAGTAACACCAACTCATTGCACTCTAGCATTTTGCAACATCACTCGCTCATATCCTTGTCACCTACTGATTTCTTTTTGCTATTCACCTTCTTCTCCGACTCCAATGCGAACTTTGTCTAATTTAGCTGTCTGCAATTGACAAGCTTTAGTTATTTACAAAACGTTCATAGGTAAATGCATGCTTATCCCTTTCAGTACAACATTTCCTATCAGTCTGCTGTACTCTATATTCACTCTGTAACATAATCAGTATTAGACTCTACTTGACTCACGAGAAGTGTCCGCTTTACGCAACGCAGTGGCATTTTGTCAGTGGAAGTAGTCATCATTCATACATATTCCCTCTCTTTCGTTGCCTCTACGCGCTTCTGTTTCTACTTCATATCATAGCCACAGACTTGCAGACACTTAATCGTTTAATCACCTGTGCGTTAGTTAACATTCTTCAGTTTTTTTGCTCTTATAGAATAAAGTTTATATGAAATAGACAGTAGAGGCACGTAAGACGATTTCTATATGTGTGTTTTTGTGTGCGTTAAATAAACTTATTTATATGCATGCTATTAGTTCTTATACTTCCTTTCACAGTAAATTAACGTATACTTGGATATTTATTACGACACTTATGTGTATGTGTATGTACATATATATATATCTTGTGTCATCATATTACGCATATTATTGTGTCCTTATATCTGGATGGGGAATATTTTTCCTTTCACATGCTATATGATGTTTGTGTTGTGTATTTCCTTTGAAGAAACCATCGCTACTAGCCTTACTATTACAAAGAGTGTAGTTAAGACTTTTGTTTTCATCTCGATTGAAATCCACAATCCACCGAGTAGACTTGTACCTAGAGCTTTCGACTACAGCAGCCACCTCTTCATATCATGTGATCTTTGTTGATAGAACTGAATTACTTAAGTTCAATCGAAATTCAGTACCTATTAGTAAAACATATGTCTATAAGTAACTATCTATGAACTGTTTAATTACTCAAAGAACATTAAAATTCATCATAAAGTAGTCGAATTCTTTCCAAGCACATATCAACTTTTAGGTACATTTTTACATTTTTCCAAAAGTATTTGATATCAAGTTTTCTACCTATCATTTTATAAGTCGTCAGTCTTTTCCGAAAGTATATTTGACTTGAGAGCATTCTGTTCTCTAAACTAAGCTTAGAGAAAAATTAATACTGTTGCTCTTTTAATTTTACAATTCTTCATTTCGCGATAGTATATAGAGATAATGTAAAATTCTATTTAATCATATACCGTAAAATATGTCTTAACATCATAGGAGATGTTAGTAGCATAATTTTTCCACCCATGGACTATATTTCCAGCACCATGTTATTTTTTAGGTTAATAATTGTGAAACCTTACCCTTCTTCGAAAATCTCTTAGAACCTCCGCAATTTTTTTAATTGGTTTGAACGCTCGACCCTGACTTATGCTATTTTATCAGACAGTCCTCGTACTTTCTAAATATTCGAAATAAAAGCTGTTACTACTGCTACAAAATTGATTTGGCTGTAATAATCAATACTTTAATGGTTTTCTTATAAGTCAGTCAGTTGTACGTAACCGAAGCGGACCGCCCAAGAATAATGAAACCGTAACGATTTATTTCCGATCAGATGCCAGCAGAGTTTGTTAGAGAATAGAGCGTACACTATATTCCTAAGTACCTTTACTCATTTTGTACTAGTTACATACAAGAAAATATTTTGGCATTGATTTCTTAGTATTCATCGTATTTCTACCCTTTAACCTTAGCACCAAACAGGAAACTATTTTATCGACCTCAACAATATTTTTTAACTACTATGGAGCTTAAGTTCGGTTTTACGAATAGTAGCGAAACAGAACATTCTCAATTCACCCAACAAACTGTGAAATATTTTCATCGCACTTTTAACATAACAGGTAATTCGAAAAGTAATGACATGAAAAGTATAAGTACTTTTCTGGACACCCCAAATACCACAGACAAAGCAATAACTTATAGCGAAAACATGGCATAGGAAAGTGACACTCGGTGATGACGGCGAGAGCTATCACATTTGTTTGATGACAATGTGGTAAACAGGATAGTAAATTACGGTGGTAAACATTAAATGACCGCTTATTTACTCAAGGGCCCCATAGCGTGAGTGGGTCAGTAAGTGAACAAGCGAATGGAATGCCTGAGCACATTAAATGTAACACCACCAATGCACTAAAGTGCTTGCGCTCAACACCAAACATTTATTTAATGATTCAGAGGTATGCTTTTGTAGCACAAATGTTATTGTAATGATTTACCAAGCGCTGGTGCTCACTTTTCCTGTTAGGTCGCAATCATATCAGATCAAGTGCCGTTGATAAGCTGCAGTATGCCGCAACGAATGGGGCATTTGGTGCGGTCAATCCGACACCATAATTGGAACAAGAAATGTAATTTTTGTGTCCGTGTAGTTCGAAAATCCACTGACCTAATAATCATATGAATGGACTGGTAAGGCAAAAGGAAAATCATAACAAATCAAATACTTTGATTGTGACATATGAAACCAATTAAATGTGTTATTGTTTTTGGTTTTTTTCTTAACGTAGTGTGTCGCCGTGTGCACTAATGTCTTTTTCTTTCTCACTTGAGAATATAATTTTGTAAAAGCTTCGCTCGCACATCTGGCGGAAGTGGCAAATAGCAACACGCAAAGAAGAAACAAAAACAAAACAAAGAAAAAACCTAAACAGATCCATTTGATTACGGTTTTTATTGTTGTTGTGTGTTTTTGGCAATGAAATCTGTCCCCAACAGCTAATTCATTTTCTTGCTACCAGCTGCCACGAAGTGTAAAGCCACAAAACCAAACCAACAAACCGCAAGTTTTATCGTTACCCACCGCTTTACTACCACCGTCTGATTTCAACCCACATTTTAAATTGTAATAATATTGATTACGGTTATATGTTATGCCTACGCTACGGCTGTTGTGAGTAGACAACAAACCAACAAATTTTTATTTGTAAGCATTTATTGGCGGTCTCGCTGGCTGCTTGGCCTTTTACTGGCGACTGGCTGGTCTCTTTGTCGTCGGTCGCTTTGGTGCCAAACTCACCCTCATTGGCTTTTACTCTGTCTTACTAATCGGATTCTATATTTCTTCGTCTTCCACTTATTCTCCTTCTTGTCCATTTTCTTTTTCTTTTCATTTTTCTTTTAATTTTTTCTTTTTCATTTACTCGGTTCCACTTGACTGACTGTCTGTACAGAAGTTTCTTTCACTGCAATGCGTTTTTACTGGAGCCTAAGTGACATGGTCTTCTCTAGTATTCTATATAGCCTCACAGTCTGAACGTCCCAAACAAACAAAGCACATCTTTGAGCGCATAGCAAAGCGAAGGCCGCCTTTTAGTCGGAACGTTTCTGTACTGTGGAATTAATCGATTCATTTAAGAAAATTAATTTCGTGATCATATTTTTAGTAATTTTATATGGAATTTTTCGTCGGCACCTGAACAGCAATTTTCTGGAAATTTCTCTCCTCTCTCATTCTTTGTTCAAAAAGGAAAAAATAATAAAGGAAATTCTTTGTGGATTATAAAAAATATTTTCTCATAAAAAATGTTCGAAAATACAAATGAATTATGTATATACTTGTATACCTATATCTGATTTTAATCCTGTTTCAATATAGCTATATTTTACTCTGCAAAACGTTTAAGTCAGAATTTTGTGGGCTATAATAAGTCCCCAATAAAGGTTGTTATATTTTAGTATATTAATTTTTATTCAAATTTTTATATATTATATAAATAAAACTATTTTCAACTATCTTCACAATTTCTTATTTAACAATGAACTTTGTTGCTGAAAAGTTTTGATAGCTTCTTGTGAAAACTTATGGAATATTCTTTAACAATGTTTTGTCTACAAAAATATGTATTTTTGAATATTTATCTTCCATCACTTAAATATATTTACAATAATTTTTTTTTTTAAACTTAAGGGAACTCTATTCACAAATTTTTTTTTTATAATTATATGATTTTTCCTAATGCAAAACTTCGTTTCAGTTAATAAAAAAATGTATCAATCATTCCATCCATTCTTAATCACTGTGCTTAATCGGCTTTGAAATCAGCAGTCAGCCTCCTTAGCTGCTTGAGATCTCGCATATGCCGCAGTTGTAGTAGGCCAAATCCAGCGCGAGAATAAACTGTTCCACTATTGCTGTTGTTATTATTGTAGCTCATTTTTATTATTTCAAAGATATTTGCCAGTTTATTTGCTGCTGACAGCGAGCATGGTGGAGAAGAGACTTTGTGGCGCGTCGTAGTGTCGCCACCAAATGTGTTACTGTTTCAATGTGGTTACGAACTCGCTCGCACGGCCGTTATGCAATTGTCTCATTGTAAACATATTTGAGTTCCTTTGCTTGCTGGCTGGCCGGTTGGCACCAGTCATAAGCATTTTGTTCTATGCGAGAAATATTTTTTATTTTACAACATTTTTTGGCAAAGAAAATAAATTGTTGGCATCATTCGTTGTTACTTTAAGTGCAAACGAAATATTATAATTCAGATGTGCTACGAGTAACAGTATAACAGTGACAAATGAGTGGGTATCATTAATCCTCAAATTAACGGACGCTTTGAACGTAAGCGACATTTTAGAAGTATGACGGACTAGAATGTGTGTTGTTGTTTATTTTGATGAGAGCATTCGACACTGGCTTTTGCTTCACTTATTTTGTGAAGTCTTTGCAATCAAAATTTGTTAACGAAAGCAGTGATGTTGAAGTACAATAAAAAATATTGTACAAAAATGAAGGTGAGATCAATTGAATCGAAATCGGAGCTCTATCTTTTTAGTATCCTACATGGTTGAATATTATCCAGCATTTGGATCGTAAGTAGGTTACGTTAGCATCAAAGTACCTATTAGGTAGCTTCGTTCAATATGAAATAAAATAATTATAATAAAATAATTTGGTGAAAGACTTAAACCATCTTAAACTATCTTAAAGACTAGGCAACATTTAGACAAACAGAAATACTGAATTCAAGTCGTAAGACTACATTTCTTTTATAAACTTTTTGTTTTTCTATAACTATTGCGTACTTGCCAACTTTCAGTTGACCTTTTTTGGTTAAAATACGGAAACACCAGTATGTTCCTACGTTATTCTAATAACAACTTGCAGCATATGTCCTGGATAAAACTTAAAAAAACATAAATAGCATGTTTGCATTTTATATAGCATGTTGTTATGACCAACTCATGTCACTTATTACCGATAACTTAAACTTAATTAATAATTAAATCGTGATTTGAATAATGAAAACTAATGATCGATATTAAACTTCTAACCACATGCTTTGATGACTGTATTAGAAGTTCAATAGGGTTTTAACCGACCAATCAGAACCCACAAATCCATAACCCCTTTACTTTAGATGACTTCAGTAAGTAAAGATAGAGTCCCTCACTCATTTTCAATGCTTGAATTGACTTGGGAAGCTCTTCTGACTTTTTGGGTAAGTTTTTTTCTTTGGGAAGTAATTTTTGAAAATTTCCCTAAAAAGCGAGAACTCTTCCTAGATCTTTATGAATGTGCTGAATTTTTGTAAACTCAGAATCGCTACACATTAAATTTTTTGTGGATTTTGTTTCTTGAACTGGTTAGCAAGTATTGAAAATTGTTTTACGATCCGAGGAGATCCCCACCCTCTCTGAAACTGTGTTCAGTCTCTGTTTATCCAATATGATATAAAAATTTCATACTAGCTGTAAGCTATTACTTTTATTCACGAAAGAAATATATGATACTCGAAAAATCCTGGATATTTTGTGACTCTTCAACATTGTATATTTTCCTTTTTGAATGTATTCGCTTCCCCTTCTTCATTCACTTACCATTTCTTAGGTTAAGAGATCAGCTCAAATTCAAAAATTTACCCACTTGATTCTAAAATTTAACTATATCACTAATATTTACTTTTTGCTTACATTGCAGCTTCGTCAAAGACAGCGAGTGGTCACCGTGCAGTGTCACCTGTGGTGAGGGGGTACGCCGACGAATCTATCGTTGCAAAATCTTTCTCGAATACTCGCGCACTATCGCAACTGTCAATGATTCATTATGCGAGGGCATTAAACCACACGATGAAGTGGAGCGTTGTGTCGAGGAACCATGTATGCTGCCCTCACACGTTTACGATGATCAATATCCACGCGACTCTATCAAGGTGGGCGTCTCTGAACCAGGTAAAACGTATGTGTGGCGTGAACAGGGTTACACCTCGTGCAGTGCAAGTTGCTTGGGAGGCGTGGAAGAATTGATAATAAATTGTGTGCGCGAAGATAATGGACGCGTGGTATCGCCATTCCTGTGTACGCCCGAAACGAAACCAGAAGCACGTGTACGTACTTGCAACGATAGACCTTGCCCACCGCGCTGGAATTACTCCGACTACACACCCTGCTCGAAATCATGTGGCATTGGCATAAAGACACGCGAAGTACAATGCATACACGAAGTAACGCGTGGTGGCGAGAACACCATGGTCGTGCCGAATAGCATGTGCCCACAACCACCACCAGCCGATCGCCAGTATTGCAATGTGCTCGACTGTCCGGTGCGTTGGGAGGTAGGCGAATGGTCGAAATGCTCACACACTTGCGGTTATGGCATCAAGGAGCGTAAAGTAGAGTGTAAACAGATTATGGCGCAAGAACACAAAATCGAGCGACCTGAATCCATGTGTCCGAGTGCCAAACCGCCAGATAAGAAACCTTGTAATGTGAAACCCTGTCCACTGGAGGATCCCAAACCCGTCATACAAGTCAGCAATACAACGCATATACAACACGATCCGAAAAAAACAAAGATCACATTGAAAGTGGGTGGTGCCGGTGTGGTATTCTTTGGCACACAGGTGAAAATAAAGTGTCCCGTTAAACGTTATAACCGTACTAAGATAAAGTGGAGTAAGGATCACAAGCCTTTGGCACGTTCACGTAAATTCAAAGTGTCTAAGAAAGGTGCTCTGCGTATTTTGGATATAACATTCCGTGATGCTGGTGTTTATTCATGTCATGCGGGACACAGTTCGGCAGAGATCACCATTGATGTGAAGGCGAAACCTGGACAACAACCCGAAGAGCTGAAATTGCAGGAATCAGGTGGGTGAGATGAAGTCTAAGTAGAAGACTACGTTTTAGTAGTTTATGAGTAGTATTAGTAAAAAAAAAATTTTTGAAGAAAGCGTTATAATTATTGTAATAAATATATTACTTCGATTTTATTCCAGAACGTCTTGTTCATGAACGTGAAGGCACGGAAGCTTTGACATCTGCCGATATGATCACAGCTGGAGAAAATACAAACAGGTAGAGATGCAATTATTTATTACCATATATTTCTTATTGTTATATTTACTAGTTTCAATAACCGTATAGTAATAAACCACAACAATTTTTAGTTAAAGTTATTTAAAATAAGATAAAACATAAACTTCGGTAGCAGCGTTGCTTAGTACCATTCAAAGGTTAATTTTTATACGATAAAAGCGTGTTGATTTCGATCAATCAGTTTATAGGGCAGCTATATGCTTTAGTAGTCTCATCTGAACAACATGTTCGAATATTAAAGCGATGCCTTGAATAATAATAATATGAAGATACCTTGTTAAATAAAAAAAACTTTTCCATACAAAAACTTGAGTTATGTCGGGCAGTTTATATGGCAGCGATATAGTTTTCTGATATCAGCGTTACCAATATATAAGTAGTTTCTTCAAATAGAAAACTGCAAAAATTTCTCAAAAACTACGGGACTAGTTCTGACATATACTTTCCGTTGTGTGCATGCAGATTCTCAGAAAAAAAAAACAATTTATTAACTATTTCTCTTTAACGTTCAGTAGTACGACGGGCCAAGCAAAATGTCTCAAAAATTTAACACAATCTATTGAATATGACTGCTTTAGTCTTATGAGATAACTAAACTGTTGCTGAGATATTTACTTATAATTAGATTTCACTGCACTAGCACAATAAAGCCAAAGCTTTTCAAATCACGTAAAAAATGTACATCATTTACTTTGTATTTTTTATTTGGCAGGAACTTATTTTGGTTTTTATTGTAGACAATTTTCGTAAATATGTTTATATTTACAAAAGCTTTTCAGCATCTGGCACGCAGCTTAGAAAGGGCATATATGGTATACACATATACTTGTATATTGATTGAGCTACTTGTTACTAGTGCTGCTGTGCAAATACTTGTTGCTGATAACGGAATGATGTTATCCATAGCTCGATTGTACGAGTTGTAGACATGTGTGTCAAGCAATTCCTTTTTACATTACTTGCGCTTGTTGAGTTTTGTAGCTAGAGCGTACACATACGTGTGCAAATATTTTCAAGCTGGCAGTAAAGAGCAAGTATTAAAGTTTATTTGTGTACCAAGCCCGTATGTGTTTAGTAGGTGCGCATTTATTTCACACGAAATTGATCTTTGCTCCCTATTGTCGGCAAGAGAAACAGCTGTGGTGCTTTATGGCCTCTAAAATGGCAAACATCAAACAGTCACAAGCATACAGGCGTTCAGCTACATACGAAGCTCCTACTTTCATATTCGATAGTATGAGTGCGAACCTTTTAACAAAGGGCACCAGTGCGCTTAACACATATCCTTTCGATGGCAGATTCCTTTCAGCAGCAGCAAGAAAACACAATACTATAATATTTGTCACAATACACATATACACCTGTAAAAGTACATTGTAGTGTATGTGTCCTGCCCTTGTATTCCATATTTGCAGTCTTAGCTTATTACTTTTGCTCTTAAACCCTATACAAAGCGCTCAAAACGTTGAGTGCAAATCACATATTGTCCAAATATTTTCATTCGCTTCTTCGCTTCTCTCACTTCTTAACCTGCTGCTCTACGCCCAGTTACTACAGTTCGCTACACTTCTTCTCGCTTCGCTCCATTCGTTCCCACCCACTGATTGCTTGTGCTGGTCCTTTTCAGTCATCAGCCCATATGCTAGCTTTTTGTTATCCTTACATAGCATCTTATATGTGTATATAAGTAGACTTTGTTGGATACTTAAGTTTTGAGTGTACAATAAGGAAGTAATATAAATAAATAGAGAAAATAACACCGAGTTTACAAAATATGAAATTCTATCACGAGCTAATTAGGGCTGCGAAATAATGGAATTGAATTGGCGCCATTTTTATAACCTGAACAGGGTATATTCAATTCACCACGAAGTTTGTAAAACCTAGAAGGAAACGTCGGAGACCCTATAAAATATATACATAAATGATCAGCATGATGAGCTGAGTTGATTTAGTCTTGTCCGTCTGTCTGTCTATCTGTATAGGTATATACAAACTAGTCCCTCAGTTTTTAAGCTATCGATCAGAAATTTTGTATCTGTCCTTCTCTCACTAAGAAGCTGCTTATTCGAAGTCGGAACGGACGATATCGGACCACTATAGCATATAGCTGCCATACAAGCTGAACAATCGGAATCAAGTACTTGTATGGGAAACTTATTTATTTGACGAGGTATCTTCACGAAATTTGGCGTGAGTTATTTTCTAAAGCAACAATGTAATATCTGACGAAATTGTTTAGATCGACTCACTTTAGCATATAGCTGTCATACAAACTGACCGATCGGAGTAAAGTGCTTGCATGGAAGATTTGTTTATTTGACGAGGCATCTTCACGAAATTTAGCATGATTTATTGTTTAAGGCAACAATGTGTGAATGAACTTTTACTCTGAACCAGTTCGAAACAATACGTATATATTCGAAAACTGCGATAATGTCATAGAAAAATTCTAATTATTTCTTATATGAAAATACTTTTGACACATATTAAATCATCAAAAAATCTACACACAAAGGCTTAACGAGTTTTAGAGCTTAAAACTCAGACAACTCAAAACTAAGAGTTTTCTTAATAATTTATGCTTTCGAACTTTTGTTAAAATTAGAGCTCACACTATTTACTTTCGAATTGCATAAAATTTATTCGCTACTCATTTTCTTCCAGCTCTCAGAGCACTCGACGCAAGCAGCAAGGAGCACGTGAAAGTAATCGACGTTCGAAAAATGATCAGGCACAAAACGTAGACGGCAATATTTTGGAGAATGAGGTAAGTTAACAAACATTTCTAAACGTTTTTTACATATTTACACATACATATCAGTGTGGACACACCAAAATTGGAAGCGCAACAGCAAATAACTTCAGTATTCGAGTTAAAGAAAAAATAAACGAAATTAAGACAAGCATCTGTGCATCTGTCTAAGGGAACTTGTGTGATGTGCTTTAGCTACCGCTGGTTCTGTGTACTGGGTTCTTTCGTGCACGCGAGCGCTCTTGGTTAAGGATTGTTCGCCAAAGCATAAATCCAGCCGTTTTATGGTTGCACATGCCTGACTGTTGTTTGTTGCAATATATTAGCGGATAGTTATTGTGAACAACAACTTTACGTAATTTGCTAGTTTTCCTATTCGTTTGCACACACCGCACACGTCATAACACGCCTCGTTTGCTTGTCGAAGCTGCGAAGCTACGAAGAGTGCTGCTACTTTGCTATTTCAGCGCTGAAGCACCCACAATCCAGAATGCTGTATTACTTTTATAATCAGATTTTGTCAATCCTATTATTTAACGTTCTAGCAAGTGAACTGTGAGCGGCGTGTGCAAGCGAAGTGTTATGTTTCCTCGATTGCAATGACAACATCAGCGTGCAAATATGTAATTGTTAATATTACTCCGTTTCGGTTTGTGTTGCTTTTACTTATTATCACTTTGGTTGAGGAAAATGCAATTTGCTTATTCGACTCCATTTGGTTTTTGATTTCTGTTGTGCGACTTTCGAGTTTTGGGTTCCTTGATTTATTTTGTTGGTTTTTCTCTTCTCATTTCAAATGCATGTAATTTTTCATTATGGCGTTGATTTTCAAGTTCCATTATGTTCGTTTATAACTCTCTGCCAGAGTCGTTTGGTTTTTCAATTGTTTAAGAATACAAAAAAGCTCACAAAATGTACTTTTCCAAATTTTCACTCACATTAATTGCATATCTTGTTCTTATTCTTATCTCTTCTACTCTCTTTCGGCGCTCATCACTTTTGACGTTTACCTTTCAACTCCGTATCATCGCTTAGCAGTCGCAATTAATACAGCAGGTCAGCGAAGATGGCGGTGGCGCGCCGAAATCCACAAGCGCCAGCAATGGCGGCAGTCGCGCCAATGTTCTACTAGCGATGCCATATTTTCAGGCGCTACTCAGCAACTTGCAGGTGAGCTGATCCAACGTGCAGTGGACAAAGTGGAAAATGCCTACACAAAAATATATAAAAGAAATGAAAAAGTAGTAGTACAATGAAAAGAAGAGACAACCAGTTGTCGGCTAAATTGTCAGGCAAACATTTAGTGCAGCGGTCATTCGTATAGTGAGGTCAATCTAACAAACACGCCAGCTTCACTGTCAATCACGTTTGGAATAGAGTATCGCAGGCGGCTGATGGGCTTTCAGTTGGTTCGTGCGCCGCTTTTATTTTTGCTTAATCAACTGGTTGGCCGTCAATTGTGCATCCACGCTCTATCTCTAACTTATAATTTCTGTTCTGTTTTCGTCTGCCTGACAGTTTAGCCGTCGACGTAAGAAAGCAAGGGTAAACACTGAACATACAGAATGTCAGCGACATTTATTGCTTTGCTGCTGTTTACCTCGTTTTTCTGGTCGCTCTTTTTTCTTGTTGCTACTTCTGGTAAATTTACCTCGTTGTTGCAAATATTTGTTTGTCGTTTATTTAATTGTTGTTAGTTTGTTTGCTAGTTGGTTCGTTCATCCGTTCGTTTGTTTTCTTTCTTCACTCATTATTTAACACTCACTCGTTTGTTGTTATTGTTGTATCGTAAGTGAATGCATTGCATTGTGCATAGATAGCGTCATCATCGTGTGGCATTCATCGTTGTTGTTGTTTATTCTCAAATTGTTTTGTCAGGTGTTTGCCTTCTTTCCATTTCAATTTAGTTTCATGCAATTTTTCTGGTTTTTGTTGTTTTGTTTTGGCTCGCTGTTGCTTGAGTAATTTCTAGCATGCAATAACTCTGCTTTTGTTATGTTTGTTCCTTCATTTTCCATTTCTTGTGCATATTCTTCATTTCTCCATTGATTCGTTCTTCCATCACTCATAATTTAATCTAAACGTGTTTTGTTCAAACTTTTCAAACGGTTGTTTGTGCTTTAGTATTTGAAATTTGTCTACCTCGTTTCTTTCAAAATCTCGCAAAAAGTTTGAGATGAGTTTCATAAATTTTTAGCGCAAGTTTTTTTTAAATATATTTATTTTCTGTATATAGGGATCCTTTCTTCAGAATCTATAAGCATAACCAGCGAAAACTATTCGCAACTGAATTTTTATGAAACTTCGAGTTTAAATAGATAATGTTAATAAGGCATTTAATGAAGTAGCTGCCGGTGGAACGGACAAAAAATGGCGCTGTTCTCTTATGGCGCTTTTAAGATATGCTATTAATATTTTACTTAAAAAGATATATGCTGAATGGGGATTCTCCAGTACTTCGATACCATTTCATACAATCTAGAAGTGGCTGCCATAATGGTAGCGGTAGATATATTGCTCCGAAGTATAGCCTCCTTCAGTGAGATGTGCAATCACTTATATAGCCGAGCGGTTATACTGGCTTTGTGCTTGTTAAGTAGCGCATGACCTCACTTGCAATAACGTCAAGTTTTTTCTGTTGCACCTATGGACCTCCAGTGAACTTGACAGCCCTGATCAACAACCAAACCTTGAGTTTTTGAATAACACAAATATTTATTCATTTGAATTTCCATTGATTTTGGACCAGCCCTACGACCTAACCTAACCTAAAATATGTCCATGTCAATCCTAAAAACGGAGGATATAGATTTCTAGGCCTTTTAAGATAAAATAAAATATAATAAAAGAATCCATATCTGTGTAGTGCCATAATTAATAAAGAGTAAATAAAATATATAATTATTTTCTTCAAAATTTAAAATTGAGCCTGCAGCTACGCTACATTTTCAAACCCCACAGCGCAAATCAGTTAGAAATCTACAGCTGCAACAGCATTTCTCAGTTTCTACGCCTACTGACTTAGTAATCGATTCAAATTATCTCTGTGTGAAAGAAATCAAGTTTTTAGTCATAATAACACATAAATTCGATTTGATCCATAATTATTATACCTTTTTTTTATGCTCTGTATTAATTGTGCATGGCTTACGAGTAACCAAATCTTCATGCACACTATAAATCTTTGGACACACCTCCATATGAAAACATTGATGCATATGTTTACCAAAAATGTGAAGAATATAAAGAACGCTGCCTACCACAACAAACAATATTCGCTTTGCACTCGAAATCGCACAAAGCAATACCATAAATGTCATCTAAAAGTTTGTTGTTAGCAACCACAAAAAGGCAGCACTGACTTAAACTGAAATCAACAATCGCAGAGAGCACTTAAACCGAAATGAAGTGCAACTTAAACCACTTGTAAGCTAAAAGCAGAGGAGACGTCTTCGTCACTCAACGCCGCTACAAAAAGAGAAATTTATAAACGCTTGCAATTGTGTAGAAATATTTGCAACAAATACTCACATACTTACATTTACAACTATTGCCAACAAAATATGTCAAGTTGACACAAAGGCATCAAAAGCAATGCTTAGGTGGAGTGTACAGGTACTACAAATATTCCAACTCCTAAGGTATACTTGTGGCTGCATTTTTAAAAGAAAGTGTAAAAGTTGCAGCACTTTAGAGGTGATTTAGTGAAGTTGAGCAGGAAACAAAAATGGAAATTGCAACCACAACCGAAGCCTTTACTGTCACTGTAGATGGCGGGAACTGAGTGTAATGCATATTAAGAATACATGCGGGGTAATATTTTCTGTTGTCCACACCTGACTACGCATTTTTTTTTTTACACAATTACTTTAATGAAAAAAAATTTAAATGCTTCTGAGTTTTTAGTGGTTTCGCGATCTAATAATTTAACTTATAGCTTAAGGGGTTAGTGGTAGTCAGAAGCACGAAAAAATTTGAATTTTTAGTAAATTTTTTTCTATTAAATTATGTTGTTTTATAAAAGTAGTAATATGGCATGAGACTTAAAGTCACGAAAATTTCAACAAAAAAATTTTAGTTTCCAAAGTTATAGCTGTCTGTGTTGACCCAGTTCCAAAACAAGGTCCTCGCGGTGACAATCATAAGTTCTTGGAGATTTATCTAAAATCAATTGGATACAAAAATTTAGTTTTATAAATAGATAATCCTGGGCCTGATCGCAACTTTTTTCTTTTTTTTTTTACATTAACAAAATGGCGGCCTCAGAAAATTTTTTTCTAGATTTTGTGGAAAAAACCTACAGTTATTGATCTTAAAAAATCGAAATTTTTGAAAGAAAAAAACCTACGATCAGGCCCGAGTTTATTATGTATTCTAAAATCTGTATGAATTTCATAAAATCTACTTACCGGTTTTCGAGTTACTGTTGTCACCAATTCAAAAAATTTCGTTTTTAGAAAAATTCATTTAAAGTTTCACACTAAAGCTCCCGAGCGCTTTGAAGTGTTATTTGTTATTTGTCGAATAACTCAAAAATTAATTATCGGATCAACTTGAAATTTTCAGAGAATGTTTTCAAGATATTACACTTAACAAAAATTAACACTGAAAAAAATGTATTCTTTGAAAATTCTGAGTACCCCTAACCCCTATAATAATAATAACATTAAATCTGTTTAAAAAAATCTATTTATTTATTAAGTGGAAAAAAACAATACAATTATTATTATAAAAAAAGCACTAGCTACTGAAGTTTTCAACTCGCTTGAAACACATATGTTCTTTAGCTTTCTAAAGTTGTATGCATTTTTCTCGATTTTTTTTAAGTTTTTTCATAATTTTAAGAAAAAAGCGTTAAACAAACAACAGATTTAAAACACAATCTATTTTCCATTCCATAGAAATCAAATTATAATTTAACTTAGTTGAAGTTTTTTGTGTTTTAACAAAGTAATATTTATATAATAATTTTATATTTCTACAAACCATTTACATTCATTTTATTACATTTTTCTCTGAACTTCTTTATAATTTTCATCTGCAGACTCCTTTCAATATCTACATACTTAATTTTTTATACAATTTAAATTCTTCCTCTTCATGGCATGAAACTTATTTTCTACTTAATTCTCACCACACTACTCGCTAGAACTGCATCAAATACATTTTCTATTATGCACAATTGTGTAATTCAATTTTTTGATCGCTTAAGTTGCACAGTTCTTTCTAAAAGAACATAATTAATTTCACGCATTCACTACAACATACCAGACACACAAGCATTTACTCTGCGTATAACCACGGAACGCAATCGCTATTTTTCTCAAGAAACTTTAAATGGAAATGAAATTGAAATTATGAAAAATGCGCAAATAAAAAATAGTATAAACTTGTTTAAAAGCGCGCAAAACTAAATCTATGCAGAATAGTTGAAAATGAAAGGAATAATATATGCATGACAGTTAGCAAATAATAGCATAGCATAGCCACAGGCGCATGCTAACCTCCAAACAACCGACAGCGATGTCAAATGTGCAATTGCTAGGTTAGTTGGTAAGATTGCTGTAGTGTAATGTAGTGTAGTGTAGTCGACTGGTGCAAAAGTCGCTGACGTATTTGCATGGCACGACAATAACAACAAACGATGTGAATACCAAAAACAGAGAAATGTTCAGCGCCTTAAAGCACAGTATGCTAATAATAAATAGTCAACTGAGATAAAAACGTGTATAAAAATAAAATAAAAACATAATAACAACAATTGTTTTATGCTGAAAACTATTTTCTAAAGCTTTCCGTTATTGTTTTGTTTTTCTTTCTCCACTTTTATTTGCTCTTTTTTTTCTAAACAATAATAAATATGTTCGTACATTTGTGTATTTATTTCAACAACAATACTATATATCTGTCATATGTTGCTGGGCGACTACAACTGTAAAACACACACACTCAACTGAAATGATTTACAAATACAACATGTACACGCTTACAAAACTTCTTTCATAGGTAAATTCACTTGATATTCTAAAAAAAGTTTAAATATATTTAAATGAAATACGCACACATATATACACTTACTGACATATACACAAACACACATGTCTGCATGAAATTTAGTCATTTTAAGCTATGCAATTCCGCTATGTGAACTAAGCACTGCAAATGGTTTG